TAGTGCTTATGGATGAAATGTAGATGAATGCGGAGTAGGCTCAAATGCGTCTGTGCATCTTCTTGTTTTCAATTGTCTAGATGTTGTCTGAAGTATTAGCGGAAGTGTTGAATGCTATTTTTGAATTTCGATCACGATGATGATGGACTTAGTTGCTATTTGGAATTAGCTTTCGGATTTTAGATTTATTCCTCCTTCGAATTAGGGTAAATTGCAGTCAAACCCCTCATTTTTACCCACTTGTCACCGCTCAACTCATTTATTAGTACTTATTACCTCTAAATTATTGAGGAAAAGGTGGTTATATGCAATTAATTATGTGAAAAGTGTCAATGCAAGGGTGATAAATGGTGATAGAAGATTTGAGGGTGATAAGTGTCACTGATAGAGAAGATGGGTTGTCTACAATTACCCTACTAATTATGTTGTATCAGCTATCAGTTTTGGGGTGATAAAGGGTTCTTGATGAGATATTGATAAATGCTAAGTACATTTGAATGGACTGGGATCATCTTCTTGTTCTCTATCTTGATATTGTGTGAAATGTTGTTTAAGAAGTTTTAGGATTAATGACGAGCTTAGTGTTATTTGAAGAGCAGTGCTAAATGGTAGTACTTGATACTGATATTGACAATGAAATGGTTTTGGTCAACTTTGATCAATGTAGGACGAGACCTTGAAGATTGTAACAAAACTTGAACTTGATTGTTTTTGTATATTTATTTGTCTTTCTAATTGAGTTGGTGGTGATGAGGATGATGAGGACAGTAATTATAGAGGATGGACAAGATGATGAGGACAATATATTTATCTGTCGTCCAGAGAGGAGCAAGCTTGCACAGCATCGATGTCTCATCCCTGAGAACAAGCACGGCTTCTACTCGAGAAGGTTTTGGTTCTTGAGCTTCGTCTTGTTTCAAGCAATTAATTCTAGCTTTTAGGATTTTGACATGTGAAATCATTTTTCCCTTTGCTAATCTTCTTATTTTCTAGCCTACTGGATGTGGGGAGATGTATATTATTACAAATTTCTTCACATTTTTCTCTTGCCATTATAGTGGAAGCTCCTTGCTGCATTTTTTTATTTTCCGCACAAAGTGTTTTCCCACTCTTACCTGTTCATTTTGTATAACCAAATATGCACATTGATATGCATATAACATAGTGATAAGCAAAATCCAAAGAAATACTAGACACAAATAAGCCATGTTTATACCAGTGTCATTGTATCAAGCGAAAGTTATTTTTTTAATGTTGATTACAGTTTGTTGATATTTTTTTCACTTTGAACCCTTGGTTACAATCGATGAATTTGGTAGTTAGATTTACCCATTGGAACCGGTGCTTACTCAATCAGTTGGTTTTTGTTGTGACGGGTAAATTTTGTATTGTTTGCATAGCTAGGGTGAGAAACATTGTGTCGAGTTACGATGCAATATAGAATCTGGTATATAAATGTTAACTACTTAGTATCTTTATTTGATAAGACATGTATGAACTGTAATTTGTTTTTCGAGCAACTGGAGCAAGATTTTCAGAAAATATATGAACTGTAATATCTTGAAGCCATAATACTTGATTTCATTAATTACTTTCTTTAACTTCCACCATTTTTATTTGATAAGACTATTATTAGATATTAGTTGTTCATACATGTCTTGACTATTGTTCACAGCCTATAGATTTGTCCTGGCCTCCCAAAATGAACTCATGTAATTCAGTCTCCAAATCATTCCTGATATATGCTTGCACGCAGAACATCTACTTGAAATAGGGTTCCAACTGATTGCAAGAGGTTCTACTAATGCCTCTTGTAATATACATGGCTTGTTGAATTGGGAATGACTGTGCAATCATGAATTTTTGGAGATACTGTGGCATAAAAGTCTTACTGTGATATTGATGTTAAGATTAAAGTTTGCGTCATCTTGGCTAGCAATACTGCAAGGACATTCGCTTATCTAAATTCTTAGTGTTGATTGAATTTTTCTAATTTCTCACAGCAAGGTAGGTACATGTCACATGATTGTTTGACGGAATTAATTGATTTTAGAGAAAGAAGAGTAACTAGAGGTTATCCTTATGTCTATGTTTTGTGTGAATCTCTGTATGATGTCACCTTAGTCACTATTACAAGAACTTTTATCCATCGAAGTCTAGCAGTAATAACAGGTAATGCACCAAGTAATCAATCACATGCAGAATTATTGAAAAAGAAAAGTTCTCATGTAGCAACTAGTGATTTGCCATATGTGAATTCTGTAGGGAATGGATCCGGTTCTAATCCGAGTAAATATGTAATCTTCATTTTACTGCTACAATATTTAAGTACCGTTAGTTTTTACTTTCTAACAAGTGTGTATGCTAATAGGTACAGAACGTACTCGTTTGCAAACTTCCAATCAAGCATGCCAAAATTCAGTAGCAGATGGACTGAATTCTAGTAGTATTGGTGTCACCATACAACGAACTACTACTCGTAAGTGGTGTTGAATTGAGCTGAATTCAGTTAAATTGAGCTGAATTGAATTATTTTCCTCTAAAAGGTGTAGAGAAGTTGAATTGAATTTCATTTTCATCAATTGCAAATTAGAAGGGTATACCTAAACTACAAACTCGAATGACAGGGATTAGAGTTAGTGCACGTCTTCAGCAACAAAGTGCTAATGATCAGCCAGTGGTAAACGCCATAGCTGAAGAGCGAGATGATAATGTGATGTCAGATATTAATTAGGAGCCTCCTCCAGGTATACAAAACATTATATACATATATTTTGAGAATTAAATATACATATGTGTTATGTTCTTAATAAAAATTATGTCAAAGGTACAACCAAAAAGGTGCGAGGGAATACGAGAGGAGTGAATGCAGATAAGGTGTTCTCCCAATTGAATTCTAAAATACCTGTGACTCTGACTGAAGAAAATGGCAGACCTACGGGCCCTTATGTAGAGATGTTTGCAAATGAAATTGGTTACACAATTCGAAACTACGTCTAACTGGAGGCAATTGAAAACAAACATGAAGCTGTCAAGACTCAGGAAGAATGAGAGTTTCTTTGCACTCATTTTTCTAGTGAAAAGTTTAAGGTACAATATCTTTTTTTTTATTTTTCTTCACGCATTACATTTTTTTTATTTACTTATTTCTGTATGTCTTAATAATTTTAGATTCGCTCAGAAAAGAATGTTCTTAATAGGTCAAAGTTGACATATCACCACAAAGTTGGGTCAAAATCATTTATTTCACACCAAGAGCAAATTGTAAGATACTTTTTAGTTTTGCTTATAAATTTGTAACTTAATTGTGTACATATATATATGCTGAAAAAGAAATATATATATGCTGAAAAAGAAAATATGTTTGAATGCAATAGGTAGCACAGACTGGAGAGATGCAAGGTGCAATTGATCGTTTTGAAACAGAGTATAGAAGCACAAAAAAAGGATGGGACTTGGGAGCAAAGGAAAAATGGGTAAGTAACGTGTTAATGATGCATGCTTTTAAAATATTTTAAGAATATAGGTGAAACTGATATTACTATTCTAAATAGGATTATATTGATTAGGTTGTAATTGAGAAGTTACATATGATTGAACTGGATATATTTTTTTTTACTTATAGGATCAAATGATAAAGATGCGAGCAGATACTACTCAACCTGATGGAACTCGAACAATAGCAGATGAGGAAATTTGTGCAAAAGTTCTGAAAGTCAAATCAGGCTACATTAAGGGCTGTGGTTTTGGCCCTAGACCACCACCATTAAGGTTCTCTCGTTCTTCGATGAGTGAAATGTCTGAAAAGAATAAAGAGTTGCAAGAACAGTTTCAAGAGACCCAACAACTTGTAGGAACTCAACAACAAAAGATCGATGCGCAAAATGAGGTAATCCAAAGATTGGAGGAGCAAGCCAAAAAGTTTGAGGAGTTTATGGCTAATTTTTCCAGGCAACATCCATCAGCTTAGTATTCTTAGTGAACTTAAACTTGGAGAAATGTTTCTTTGATCATGTTGTATTTGTTATTGCTTTAGACTAGCATTGTTACTTATGGTAGAAACTTGTTTGCTTTATTTATTTTAATTGTTTTGATGTATTGTGGTGACAATTGATGACAATTATTTATATTTTGAGCGTTTTTCTCGTAATAGCATTATTATTGATGAAATAAAATTTCCTCATTATAAGTATATTGCTTACGTCATCAAAAGAATATTTCCTCATTATAGAGTATACTGCTTACATCGACAAAAACATATTTCCTCACTATAGTGATACAACCTATAACGGCAAAAATAATTTTCCTCGCTATAGATCATATAACCTATATCGACAAATGTAAATTTCCTCGTAATTGAATTTCTTTGGCGAGGAATATGGAGTACAACCTACAACGATAAATTTAAATTTCCTCGTCTTTGAGTCCCTTTCTTGAGGAACTGTTTCCACGAGAAAAAGATACATATAATGAAGAAAATTAATTTCCTCGTTAAAGATTTACCTTTGGTGAGGAACAGTTTCCTCGCTGAAAGATACTTACAACGACGAAAATAGTTTTTTTAGAACTTTTATTATATATAAATTAAGTATTATTCATGTATCATTAGCGGGGAAACTATAGTTTAGCGATGAAAAAGATATGAGATTAGGTGAGGAAAAATATCGAGGCTAAAGAGTAACAACGAGAAAAGAATATATTCATCGCAAAAAGGATTTCGTGAGAAATTATAATATTCCTCGTAGAAACTTTTCTTGACCACGCTACCGCGAGGAAATGGTGACCAAAGTTTTTTCCTCGCCAACACACTACGGCGAGGGAATCTCGACTTTCAACGACAAACTTGTTCCTCGCGGATTAGCTTTTCTGTTGTAGTGGAAGTACACATTCATTGGATACGGTATTGATGAGTTCGAGTATCGTCTTTTGGATGAGAAGAATAAGAAGATCATCAGGAGCCGAGATGTCATATTCAATGAGGAGGTGATGTACAAGGACATGAGAAATACCAAGGATAGCTAAAACAGTGGGAGCAGCACTTCGGATACAGGTGGAACCGAGTACATGGATTTATAGGAACTTCTAGATATGGGTGATGATGTTTGTTCTGACCGAAAAACGGAGGAAGCTCTAGGTGCAGAAGTAACTACCCAGGACGTGTAGCTTAGGAGGCCATCCAGGGTACCCAAACTGAATCTTAGGTATCTTTCATCTCTTGATTACTTATTGTTGACAGATAACGGTGAACCGGAGTGCTATGAGGAGGCTATGTAAGTGAGTGAATCTTAGCAGTGGGAGCATGCGATGCAGGAGAAGATGAATTCTCTACTCACTAATGAGACATGGGAATTAGCCAAGCTACCTACACAGTAAAAAGACCTTGCATAACAAATAGGTCTAACGGGTCAAGCAAGAGAGTGATGGAAGCAAGAGGTTTAAGGCTAAATTAGTTGTAAAGGGGTTCTAGCAGCGGGAAGGAGTGGACTACACGAAAATATTTTTCCCTGTTGTAAAGCTCACAACCATCAGGGTGGTGTTGAGCTTGGTGTTAGACCCTAGAGGGGGGTGATTAGGGTCTTATGCTAATCTAATCCGATTTTATGCTAATTAAAACCAATTAATAAGCTATCCTAGCAAGATAATGAGCTAGGATAAGCAATATGAACAATGAGATATATCCTATATGATAAAAATATATGCAATGATATATAAGCTAACACAAGGGTGATATAATCAAACTACAAATGTGATAGGGCAAAATATACAAGAGTAATAGGCAATTGGCGATATAAGATAAATGCATAAGCAAATGCGCCAATGACAAACTCAAACACACTCAAATGATTACGGAGTTCGGACCTTCTGTCCTACGTCTCCGCTCCCCACTCCCGGGAAGAAATCCACTATCACAATCCGGTTTGGAAACCAGAACTTCTACACACTCGGTTTTCTAGCTAACCGAAAACTCTACAACGCACACTCTTGCAAACCCACTTTACACCCTCACAAGTATTGGAACTAGCCATGTCTCCCTCAAGTGCTCGGTTACAACCTCTCCCTAGGTTCGTCAACCGACGCTACTCCTCTTAGGACGATCCCCGACTCTCACCACACACTCCTCTCGGTATACAAGTGTATTACAAAGTGTATCTCACAATAAGCACAAATACAACAAATGATTGTTCTCTAATATGGTGAGAACACAATGAAAGCTCACACTCAATTGTTACAACTCTCACCAACCCAAATATACTATGTATGAAAATACAATAAGCTTATGTGGGTGTGTGTAAACAATGAGTGGCATAAAATCTAACTCTAATAGCAAACTAGCAATAATAAGAATATAAAAATCAATAATAAAATTGCTAGAGAAAGGAGTTAGAAAACTTCTCTATAAACACAAAGATAGGATGAGAAGATATTGAAGATGAACTCCTCAACAGATGATGCAAGCTCCTCTTTGTAAAGGCAAACCCTAAAAACAAACTAAACAAACTGTAAAACTCTCTTAAACTTGTTTAGAACTTTCTCCTTGGTTACTTATAGAAGAGGGCCGGGGTTGAGGGGTTTATATAGGAAGAGAAACCAACAGCCAAAATCCCTAACAAAACAACAAAAATCTCAGAAAATCAAAAATACGATTTTGTACCAAAAATAGCCGTTGGGCTATCGGCGGTCGACCGTGAAATTCTCGTGGTCGACCGCACCAAAAATAGCCGTTGGGCTATCGGCGGTCGACCGTGAAATTCTCGTGGTCGACCGCGAGGCACGTTTGAACCTCATAAAATTTCCAGAGAGTTCGACGGTCGACCGTGACGGTCGATCGTGGGAATTTTCAGCTTGACGGTCGACCGTGGCAGTTGACCGTGAAATTTTCTGCTGCATCTTGAGGAAAAAACAAAGGCGCGGTCGACCGTGGCGGTCGACCATGAACTGATATATAAAATTTTCAGGTTTAAAAACAGTTTGCTGATTTTAAAACACTGTTTAAAAATATCAAATAAATTCAAAAAAATGTAAAACTTTGGGGAATAATTGTAGACATGATAATAAACATGTTACAAAGATCGGTTTGCAAAAAGGACCTCCCAAAAAAATATCATTATTTTACAAAATAGTCCAAAACATGAAAATGTAAACATATGAGTTTTGACATTTTAGCTTAACTATATTTTGAAACATTACAAAATGATTTTGTAGACTTAATAAAAGATATAAGCTATTGTTATGAAGTCTATAAACAATGAATTCAATATTTTCACAAATACAATAGAATATGAAACATATGAGTATGTATATGAATATATATTTGTTTCATATATAGAATATGAAACATATGAGTATGTATATGAATATATATTTGTTTCATATCTATGAAATTAAACCAAAGCAACTTATCCACATAGAAAACAAACATTATGAATATATATTTGTTTCATATCTATGAAATTAAACCAAAGCAACTTATCCACATAGAAAACAAACAGGTATACATAATTTTTGGAATTTATTTGTAAAAACTTTGTCTGTGGATAAAACTAAAAATCAAGATGTATATGTATATATAACTATATATATAGAAACCAATCAAAAGTGTGTGTGTATGATTGAGCTTAGAGTACTAACACACATAATATAAAACCTAAACTAAATTACCTAAGTTTGATGAAGGTCTTCAATGAGCTCAACTTGGTACACTTGCGGATGAAGCTTGAACTTGGATCTTCAACTTGAATTGTACATAGCTTCACTTACTAATCCGCCAAACTCCATTTGATATGATCATTATGGCGCAATCCATCCAACCTCCAACTCGTTGTTTGTCTATAATAGATACAAAATATAAATACTAGACAAACAACATTAGAAGTAAATTATTTGTTAAACATCATCAAAACAAGAAGGCCAACAATCTTCCCCTTTTTGATGATGACAAATAATTTACAAAAAGGATATATGCATGAAAGAAAATGAATATACAAAGTATAATATATCATGCATATAAACAAGAAAGAATATACTCATAATATTTCTCCCCCTTTGACAATATCAAAAAGGGGAAAATCATATAGATGAAAGAGAGCGAAAGCTCCCCCTACCTATAAGCATGGGTGACTATAACACATAGAAAGATATAGGGATTGCTCCCCCTATCAAAATACCTTATGGAATATATGCAATAATGATCAAGGCACATATATGTGAGCAAGCATACATGAATATGCTGAATATCACTCACATACAAAAAGACAATGAGAACACATATAAATATGAAAGAAGTGTCTCATTACACAATTTTAAAAACATAATGTATAAAAATAGATTTATGAAAACAAAGGAATGAGAAAAACATGAGAACCATGAAAAAAGTTTTCAAGGGAAAATAAATCACTCAAATGAAGTCATAAATCAAGATTTGAGTCCAAAAACAATGTTTGATCAAAGAAGAAAATTTTCTTTGTATAACTTGATCAAACCACATAAAGAATATATTATAAAGCATATTTAAAATTTGAATCATCTATTTGTGCTTATATAATGAATTCAAAAGAACAAATCAAAGCAAAATTTTCATAGTTCAAAAGTAACATACAAGAATTATGAACTATCATTTTTAAGAGTATCAAACCAAACCATTATTGATTTTTAAAAATCAAGAAAGGTAACTATATCTAGCTCTTGAGCTAGTAACAACCCATGTAAATATTTAAACATCCGGTAAACACGATTTGGGAATAAACATCCAATAAACCCGGAGGGTTATATAAACACAAACCCCTCATCAAAACAAAACCAATAATCATGAAAACAAAAGAATTTGACCAATAAAAGGATTTTTTTCATAAAAGTTTAAAATATATTTTTCAAAACCAAGAAAAAAAAGTACTAAAATTATTGGCTTAAAAATTATTTTGGCACCCAAGTATTCTTGGTGTCGGTTTGTTTAGGGACATGACCCTTATCATTAAAGCTCAAAGCCCTAGGGTTATGAACCCTCTTGGGCACATATGGTGCACTAACACGGTCAAAATAATATTCATTCAAATGACCATTCCGATTATAATTTGTGCAATGAAAGAGATCCATTTGTTTTTGTGGACCATTAGCTCGTGCACGAGTAACATTTGCAAACATAGA